TAAATACCTAAAGGTCTTGAAAAATTCCCAAAACTTCCAGATAACACTTTTGGAATAAATAGGGATTTATCATAAAAATAAATAGAATTTTTGAAGCCCTTAGGTATTTTTCCTAATAGGGGGCAAGAAATCGGGTATTATGTAACCAAATGATTTTTTAAAGTACCCTAACCAATTCCATTACTTCCTAATCAGTTTTTACCATTTAGTTAGCATCCAGCAAGGTCCAAATTCATGCTCATCATGACCAGAACAGCTGGCTTATGTGCTGGGCAAATTTTCAACCATTGATGAAAAATGACTTGGAAAGCAAGATGCAAGTGGATGGTTAGGATTTGCTGATAGCTTAACTTTAATTTTAGGCCATGTTTGGCACTTGAAAATTCTTCCCAAAGGGGGAAAAACCAGTAGAAATTGTTGCCTATAAATACCCCCATAATTCTCCCAAAATTCATGCAAAAATCTGGAAAAATATGGGAGGTTCTGCACAAATTTTTCTTAATTTGTGATTTTGTTCGGCCTTGACTGTTCTAAATGGTTAGGATTGGATTTTGATTGTTTTGAGCTTGGAAATGGATTCTACATGTAAAATTATGTGGGAATTGCATGTGAAAATAATTTTAGGAAGACTGGAATTGAAACTCAAAAATAGAGTTTAAGTACGTTCAAGAAAGAATCAAGTAGAGATAAGTTGATGACTTGATTCTAATAATTGTTTTGCATAATGTATTGATGTGTTTAGGACCTTGGAAAATCCATAAGGATGTTTAATGGTGTTGACCAAAAATCTATAGGGTTGAAAAGACAAGGGAATCAAAGGAAAAGCAAGAGGAAAGCTGTGTTACAAGATAGTGAAACTTACCTATATTGTGTGCTTGATATGTATGCTTGCATGGTATGCTTGTGATGCCATAATGTGACTAAGCCATAATGAAATGTTTGCAAAGTTAAGTGCAAACTTATGTTATATTGTGCCTTGGCAATATGTTATGAAAGCATGTGATGTTTGGCTTACTTTCTATGGCATCCATATGTTAATGTTATGATAACATGTCATGCATTTGCATTATGTCTTGCATGCTTATAGGTAATGTTTGCTACTGAGATTCTCTCAAATCTCACCCTCCCTTAACAACCCCTAATAGGTGCTACAAGCTTGAAGGAAAAGCCAAGACGTGGAAGTGCAAGATAAAGGGAAGAAGCCAAGCATGTCTTATGTTTCCATAACATGCTATGTTATGTAACTATTATGTTAGTTGATGTTATAATCATGTCATGTATATTTGATGATGTTTAAAATGTTTATGGTATGTAAGATGGCATGAGATTATGTATGGAAATAGTATATGCAATGACAACATAGGAAATGCAAGAAATGAATTTATTTGAAAATGTGAATTAAGTTAGGGAGTTAGAGAGTCCCTAAATAAGCCACAAACTGGTGCCAATGATGAGATAGAGCAAATGAATGAATTTTTCCATGAAATATGGTGAGTATTTAGAGCACATCTTGAGCTTTAAAACAAGTGGTAGGTCACATGAAATGGATGTGCATGCTAAGTGTTATGGCTGTTCAAAGTTGAGGCAAGACTTCTGGAAAACACTGTTTTGACCAAATAAACAGTAATCTTTGATGAATAAATTATATGAATTGGAAAGATCTAAGTCCATATTGTTATTTTTTTCTTATAGAGAATTGAAAGAGCTTTATGTGAAAATTGGAACCACTCCGTTTCAATTTTTCTAGAATTAGTTATGATTTTTCAAAGTTGACCCCTCAAATTTCGGAATGTGCAGTGAACCATGATCGTACAAGTCTAACTCTAAAACTTGATTTTCTAACCTTAAGGCCAACGAATGTGGTTCCGAATGCTTCCATATAATGCGTTAAAGTGTATAAAAGTAAGGTGTGATAGTTCTGCTTGCTAAAAGCATTCCAGATCGATATTCTCCCTTGCTTTCATCTTTCAAGAAGGATCCTAATTTTGCCAATTAGCTTTACCCTATATCTCCGCCACCACTTCATGATTTAATTGACTCCCTCAATCAAAACAATCCACATAGTTGAGTAGAGACACTACTGCAAAAAAGACATTTTATGGTGGTTAACATGAGCTTTTCATAGCGCTTTTGAGAGTGACATCTATGCCATCATTGTAACATATAGAGGATTTCACGACAGTTTAAGAACCACTATGGTGTGTGACTTTCACAGCAGTTATATGAATAATTGCTATGAAAAGTTTTTTTTAAAGTTTCCCTTTCATCCAACTAATTAGGATGGAATGGGAGAACAAAGCCCTAAGGGAAGGGATTTGAGAATCAATTGACCAATAACTTGCCACTAGTCAAAAGCATTATGATAGAGCAAAAGTGGGCCCTTCCCCCACCATAATAGCACCACTTAGCTTGGCTTTAAACCACCAGATCAAAGCCACTAAGATTTAATAAAGGTAAAATCAAATATTCATATTTGATAAATTTGTGAATTTCAAGCTGTCAAAATCTAATCTACAAAATAAGGAAAACAAAAATTAGATCTATTCAAGCATTTAAGTATCAAAGTATGTTTACGCGAAGAGAGAAACAAAAATTGGATCTACTTAAACTCAGAATAAATATCATATTTTTAATCAAAGAAAACAATCAAACAACAAAAACTGTGAAACTCACAAAAAGAATGGAGGAGAAAGGGCAAAAAAGTCACAAATAAGGATGAAGAAGATGACATGATGATAATAGTGACAACAACAGAAGAACTTGGAGATGATAGAAGTAAGGGATAAACACCAGTAAAGGTAAGAGGAGGGAGAAAATCAAGTAGGGATGGCAATGGAGGACTATGAGCTCACTATGAGCTCTAACTGTGAAAAGTTAAAAACTATCACATGATAGATAGGGTTTTAAAATTCCGATAAACTTTTCAAGACAATTTTTTAAAATACCATCGTAAAAAAAAAACCTTTTATAGTGATTTTTTAACGAGAATATTTTAGGGTCCTGAAAAGTAAAATTTACTTCTATGTAATTACAAAAACGCCATTGCTTTTTATTTTTTAGTGTTTTGCCTGATGACCACCATAAATTAGCATCGTAAAAGCTTTTTTAGTACTAATGAGAATGCACTCCCACTTGTTAGACTAAGAGGGAGAAGGTCCTAGCTATAATCACACCACAGAGACATGGACGAAAACTCCCACAAAAAGGAAAGAAACCCTCAAAAATGAGGTAAGGAAAGAAACACTAGTAGAGAAGCTTATGCGGCACTCAATAGTGTCGCCCACATATAATGATGTAAACATTAGTCACATTTGATGTTAAAGCAAACATAAATTAAAGCTTATAAAATAGACGACACTATATCTTAAATTTAAAGCTTATAAATAGTAGAAATAGGACTAGAGGTAGTACTTATTTTAAAAAAAAAATCAAATAGTTGTATTTTTTAAAATTTCCTAAAATTTATAACTACTTAATGGCTGTTTTAAATGTCAAATAGTGGATGCTAATATTTAACATTTTTTCTATTGTTCAAAATCATCGTACAGGCTTATGTTTGCTACTTGTTTTCAGGTCATTACAGTATACTCATGTAAAATTATGTAGTATAAACCCTTGAGCAATTTCATTTTTCATCAGATTCGACAGCTTTTGGCTGTCTACTGATATTTATCTTCGAATTCGACAACTTTAGTTAATTGTAGTCGTAGGAACCCTATTCAATCGTGCTCTGGAATCTTAAAACTTATTGATCTAGCAGAAACAGTGTGTCTTGCCAACAAATAATTGCTCAAAGCTACAACCATTTGTTTTTTGTCTTAGCTTGTCACTTCTCTGTTGGACCTTGACCCGTGAGAATCGCTGAATAAAAAGTCTCCATGTTGGGCTTTCATTCAAAATACAAATCTTGGCAGATCTTTCTGTATGGGCCGCCAAGCACGCAGAAAACCCTCATTTTTAGCTTCCTAGCGAGGGTCTTGCGCATATATTTTGCTAGCTCCAGAAGGAATGATTTCACTGAGGCAGACAACTACTATGATATGTGGGTCTTTGATGAGTTTCAGAGGAGGGGGAGGTACATCACCTCCGCTGCGGAAACGGGAACGGCCTACGCCAACACCCTATTAAAAGTACTCTTTGGGCAAGAATACCGGGTGGACTTCAAGTACGGTAGGCTTTTTGGAAAGCTTTCCACCGAAAGAAAGATTAGTAACCTTCCCAATCCTCTACGATTCCTAACAGGAGAGCTTGTCTCTCACTATGCGTAACAGTAACACATTGAATTGGACCGCTTCGCCCCCTGCTGAAGAATTGCTCTTCATTTAATAGTTATATGATATTCAAATATAAATTAGTGAATATAATGTTAATCTAGGAATGACGCCCTCTATATATTATTACAAATCCTGTAGATTAATTAAATCTTAAAGGGCTCTTAATGCACATGCCATGAGACCATATAGGAATTAAAACAGCTGATTTCTTTCTCTCTAAAATCAAGACTTTATAGAGATTGGATCCAATTGTTATAAGGATTGCCACGTACGTAATTATTTAATCTAATGTAATTTAATCCTTGCTTCAAATTAATGCAAATGTTATCTTTAATTCTCCCAGTAGATTAATTACATGGTAAACACTTATTTTAAACGCCACTTAGATGGTTTGTCTTAAACAAAGCATAACATGTAATATAATATGTATGATATCATTATGTTATCTTAAAATCATTATTCTAGCATCAAAAAAATTTAAAAATTAAATCGAAAGCTGGACCATTGATAAGATATCATTTGGACGGTCTAGAAGATGCATGCACCATCCCCGAACTTCTATTTAATCACCCTAGCTTCTTGCCTTTTCTCCAACTACAACCTTCTTTGGAACTTTGAAATTCCCTCTTCACCCCACCTCCCTCGTAGAATATATATATATATATATATAGAGAGAGAGAGAGAGAGAGAGCTAATATTGTAGGCTTCAACAATCAACGGAGAAAGATGGCACAACTCGTCAACCTCACATTGTTGCTAGTGATGATTCTCCTCTTATCTCTCTTCTCAATGGATGCTGCGGCTAAGCCATCAATCAACAGACCTCAACGTCGATATAATCCTCAAACCATCGTTTACATAAAAGCCTCTTGTCAAACCACTTTGTACCCAAATCTGTGCCTTCGCTGCTTATATAAATTTGCCAAATCAAATATTCAAAGCCCACAACACTTGGCTCATGTGGCTTTATCTGTGAGTTTCTCACGAGCACTATACACAAGAGATTACTTGCTCCAAGTGGGGAAACAATTCAAGGCCCTCAAGAACAGTAACAATCGTAGAGACTATGTAGTTCTGCAAGATTGCTTGAAGCAGATCAATGATAGTGTGGACCAGCTTGGGTTTTCAATAAAAGAGCTTGAGCGGTTGAATAAGATCCCAAACACTTTGATCAATGATGGCGTCTTGTGGCACATAAGTAATGTCGAGACGTGGGTGAGCACTGCCCTTACTGATGCGAGAACTTGTGTGGATTACTTCCCAGGTCATAGGATGAGTAAGATGAAGGCTACAATAAGGGGTAAGGTCTTGAACGTTGCTCAAGTCACCAGTAATGCACTTGCCATATTTCACAAATATGCAGCCAAGTACCAAGCAGCAGCACAAGCCAATAAGAGACCTTGAATGATGAAAGGAAATTGGCCTTTGTTTGTTAATGTAAATCATGCATGTTTTTTCAAGGGCGGCTTTGTTATTGTTATCTTTGTCTATATTTAGTCTTTCTATTTTTATAATTTTATAATTAAAAAAGGATCTTTAGTTTCTCATATTACATGTCTATTAAAAAAACTGCATCTCTTTAAATGGAAAAGCACCACATGTTTTTCGGTATTTGTAATTTCAACAGTCTTTTGAAGATCGATCGAACTTACAAGATTACTTGTTTTCTCTAGAATGATCATACACATATTTTATTATTTGGTTGGTGTATAAATGAAGTTGCAGTAGGAACTAATATATAATTAAATTATGAACCAAAATCATTTACATGCCCTTTAATCCTTTATCATGTATAGTATTTTGAATATTGACTAAACAGGGAAATTTTATAGCATCTATGGGCTAAAATAGATATTAGAAGTCAATCTAAGGAAATTTGAGAGGAAAAGTCATGATGGCGCAAAATCTTGAAAAGTTTTGAGCAGCAGAGTAATTACAGCTAATATACATAAAAATTTAGGAAAATTTTATAAATTCAAGAAAAATAGTTCAGGTGTTTCTGAAATATATTTGCAGCCAAAAAAGAATATCTAGGCTAGGTATCCCTCAACAAGCAATAAAGTAGAATTTAGAGAAATAAAAGTTTGTTTGTGGCTAATTAAGGTGAAATTTAGCCAAAATAGATAATTAAAAATTATGTAGTGAGCCAAAAAAAATGGAAGAAATATGGAGAATAATTTTTTTATTCATGGAATTATTTTAAAAAAATAACTTCCAAGCTTAAAACTATTTTTTGGGCTTAATTAGTATAATTTGAAAAAAAAAACTCAACGAATAGAAGTAAGAGTCCAAATTTGGACTCTAGAATTTTAGGAAAATTCTTTTATGAGAATAATGAATTCCTGATGAGTTATCTAAGTTTTTTGTGAGAGGAATTAATTATGAAATTCCATATGTGTCAAGAAATTACCAAGATCTCTTACCATTAGCCCTAAAACTTCAAATAAATCAAGCCAAGGGCCAATAAAAGAAGGGCATGTCGAGAGGTCTGATTACAAGGGGAAATGATTAAAAAGGGAAAATCCCATAAAATGATACAAATGTCATTTGATTTTAAAATCTCAAATAGTCATTCTAATTTTACAAAAGATAAATAAGTATAGAAGTATTAAATTAGGATTTACAAATAGTGATAAATTGCTTACATGCCCTTTCTCTCATTCCGATTTTGTCTTCTTTGGTAATGAAACTGACAAAATCTCTAGGTAATCTGATAACTTTGATAACAACATTTACAAATGTTTTTAATCATTTCAAAACTTAGGAGGAATTCAATCAAAAAGTCATTATTTAAGTCATTTCATGTGCTTGCAATGATATTAACAACATCCCTAATTATTTTCACAATTTCGGTAATCTCATTTACAATTGTTTTTAATTATTTCAAAACTTAGGGGAAATTCAATCAAAGAGTCATTATTTAAGTTATCTTCTACACTTGCAACAAAATTAACAACACCTCCATCCATTTTCACAACTTTGGTAATGTCATTTATAATTGTTTTTAATCATTTCAAAACTTAGAGGGAATTCAATCAGGGCGTCATTAAGCTATTTTCTACACTTACAATAAAATTGACAACACCTCTAACAATTTTGACAACTTTGGTAATGTCATTTACAGTTGTTCTTAGTTATTTCAAAACTTAGGGAAAATTCAATAAGGAGGTCATTATTTAGGTCATTTCACACACTTGCAATGAAATTGCACCTCTAGCCATTTTCACTACTTTAGCAACACCATTAATAGCTAATTATATTCTTTTGCATTATTAAAGCCATTTTCACAACTTTAGTAGTGTCGTTAACACAAATACTTTGCTCGCTTTCTTGCAATCAGAGTTTGATTGCACGTTCGAGGGGAAGAGAGAGAGGGTAGTAGGAGTTTCAGCTTTCTGCCAAGAAACCTATAGGGGAGGAAGAAGACAAAAAAGGAATGATTGAAAGGGCATGGAGGTAATTTATCAGAACTTGAGAATCCAAATTTAATACCTGTAGATTTATGTGTCCTTTGCGAAATTAGAATGGCTAATTTGGAATCTTAAAATTCAAATGGTATTTATATGGAATTTTCTCTATTAAAAATTATTTGAACCAAATTCAAGAAGAAAAAAGTGTGGTTAAGAATTCATGGTATTATTAAAATATTAAATATATTGTACTACTTTAATAATTTCCCTTATCCCTTCATCTTCCTTTAATTTTAGTCATTTTCAGCAGAAAAACAAAGAGAGAATGTGAAGGAGAGGAATACGAAATGGGAAAGGGGAAAAGGAAGAACAACTTGTAGTAGATAATTCCCTATCTCTAAATAACCATCTAAGCTTTGTTTTCTTGTTTGGAGCTTGTTTTAACCTCTCTTAAAAGGGTTGTTCAAAAGAGGAGGAGAGAGAAAAAGGAGGAATTAGAGTGAGAAACAAAGGGAACAAGGAAGTTATTAAGTAGTTGTTGTGTCCTTGTTGTTTGGAAATTCTGTAAAATTGTTTAGAATTATGATTTGATGATTAAACAAATACTAGGAGGTTAATAACATCAAATCAAGTGTTAAATTGGACGGGAAAAAAGTCCACATTATTTTACAATTTTTCCTATTTTCAATCAAGAATAGGTAGATGAACAAGTTAGATGAAATTTGCTTAATTTCATACTTCCAATAAGTTTAGAATGAAATTTAGTGTTTAAAAATGTAAACAATACACCAATGAGTTGGAAAATAAATTAGCATTTATATCTAATACTACATCCGGTCTTTAATATAAGACCTAGTTAATTTGAGAAAATTAAGAAAGCTAAAAAATTACTTAATCATAGTATATGTTATATGATCTCCTTAAAATACTTGTATATATTATTAGATTATATATCAGTTTATAAGTTGAACACATTAATTTGGAGAAAAACAATGAACATAGTACTTTAAAGTAATTTATTTAACTTTTTAAATCCCCCCAAATTAGTTAACCAGGTCTTATCTTAAAGACATGAGATAGTAAGCCCTACCTTTGGGCCAAGAGAGGTAGTGGGGATACGATTTGTTTTTGCAAAATCCAATATTGGAAATAAATTTTGCATGCAAAATTATAGGAATAGCATGTGGAATTAAATTTAAAGTCCTTGGATCAAAAATCCAAAATGTAAGAATAAGAATTAAAGGTTAAGTAATAGGAAAGTAGAGTTTAAGTGTGAGGTTTGGATAGACAATAATGTTTTATGTGTTGTATTTCATCAATGCTTTTGATATGGACTATCGCTCATGCACCTAAATTAAAACTAAGCTAAACACTATAATGTATAGTGAGCAAGCATAATCTACGCTGTATTCCTCTAAAGGGTTTTGATTGAATGCACACCTTCACTAAATGCCAATGAGAGGTTAATTAATCAAGTCAAGTGAATATTCTATTAACTATTATAACAGTGGATCAGAACTAAAACTCTACGCAATGACAACTCTTAGTACTTGCCAGTTAAATAGAAAAGTATCAAGCAAATAAAGGCATAGGTCGAGCAAGGACTAATTTTGATAGTTATTATCTTGATTGTCAAATAAATATAGGCAAATATTTGATATTCCCTCTAGTTCTTTTAATAAGCTTCGCATAACCAATTTGGATTTAACAAAAATACATTTAAATTTAATCAAAAACAATAAATAGATAAGAAATGTGCTTCTTCTTTCACATGTGCCCTTTTTTTTTTTTTTTTGATAACACACGTATGGCCTTACTTATAAACATGATAAGTGAGAGAAACAATAAATGAGAAAAAGTGTAGCAAATGAGAGAGAATAAATAGTTAATACAAAAATTGAAAAAAAAATGCATTTAATGGTGAAAACAAACACAAATTAAAAAGGGAGAATTGCAATTAGGTCCCACCCAAGGGAATTAAATATAAAAAAGTTCCTTGAAATTATGAAATTATTTTGAAGTCCCAAGGGACTTTTTGCAATAAATTTTATTTGTTTAATTACCAAATTACCCTTCTTCTTTTTTTTTTAAAAAGAAGTTTGCATTAACAATTGAAAGAGCAGTGATTGACAACTTAGAATGCAAGGATTGACAACTATCGTGGCTGGTTTGACAACACATTTTCTCAGCATATCACATCTTAAGTTATCAAACCAGCCGTGATAGTTGTTAATATTTGCACCATAAGTTGTCAACTCATGCTCTATCAGTTGTCAATGCAAACTGGAAGAAAAGAAGAAGGGTAATTTGATAATTAAACAAATAAAATTTATTGCAAAAAAGTCTCTTGGATTTTAGAATAATTTCATGATTTTAGGAGACCTTTTTATATTTAATTTCCTTGGGTGGGACCTAATTACAATGTTCCCAATTAAAAATTATAAATAGACGACATCTCTCTCCAAATTTGAAGATTATAGATATATAGGACTAGATGAAGTAGTTATTCAAAACAAACTACCAAATAGTTTTATTGTTCCATAAAAAATTCTTAAAATTATAACTACTTAATGTTTTTTTAATGTCAAATGGTTGAAGCTAATATTTAACTTTTTTCTTGGTTAAAAACCATATCAAACAGGCTTACATTTGTTACTCGTTTTCCAATGTTCCAGTATACCCATTTAAAATAATTTATTATAAAACCTCGCACAATTTAATTTTTCATCAAATTCAACAGCTTTTGGCTGTCCACTGATATTCATCTTCAAATTCGACAACTTTAAAATAGGCAATCTTAGGAATCCTCACTAATTGCGTGTGGTGTGAAATCTTAATTGAAAGCTTTATTTAGCAGAAACATCATGTCTCGCCAGCCAATAATTTCTCAAAATTACAAAGACCTGTTTTGTCTTAGCTTGTCACTTCTCTGTTGGACAAAGATCCGTAAGAATCGCTGAATTAAAAATCTTACATGTTGACCTTTCATTAAAA